CGGAGTCTTGTGGTACACCACACACCACATCGAATGCATCGGACAATGATTCTCCGACTCTCACCGCTAGCCGTCGTTCGTGTAGAAAATCGCTAATCTAACCCAGCATTGGGTGGGTAATGCCGTAGTTCCGAAGCTTCTGAAGGAGAATTCGATGGTCTAAGCGATCAAACGCTTTTGAAAACTCCAGGTAGATGACATCGACTCCTACTCCATCATCAACACCTTCAGTCTAGCTATTACGTGGAATTAATAGGTTAGTATTACGCGAACGCTTTTGGAGATATTAAGTTGTGGCTTTCGAGATACTGCGTCAGCACATCTGCGATGACTGGTTCCATCACTTTGGATAGTATAGGAAGTAGTGTTATTGGACGGTAGTTGGTAGGGTCAGTGCGGTTACCTCCTTTATGCATAGAAGTGATGGTCCGTCGCTTTCATACTATGGAATATGGTTCTTTTCTAAACATCGCTTATAGAAAACAGTCAATGGTTCTTCTAGATCACTGGCAGCCGCCTACAGAGCCTTTGGTCGAATGTTGTCGACTCCAGGATAATTATGGATACGCAAGAAGAATAACTTCTTCAATAGAGCTTCCGCAGTGAAGGAGATGTTGTCTAAACCAGAAGGTGGAGTAATAGAAACGAGGAGAATGTTTGGGCTCTTTACCTGCTGGAACCCTTAGGAGTACTGAAACCGTCGGAGATCAGCTGCTTCCATTGTTGATCGAGTGCACCCATCAGCCGTGACTGGTGCTGGAATCTCCCGCTTCACCTTTCGAAGGCCGTTAACGTGCCTGCAAAGAAGTTTGTGGTTCGTGCAGAATCGCTTCGTTAAATCATGTTGATGCGTGACCTTGTCTTCGCGGATCAGGTTCACAGTGCACTTACGATGCGTCACGTATGCAGTCCAGGTTTCGGCATTCCAGCTGTCCTCCTGATCTCGCCATGCCAAATCCCGCCGGGACATACATTCACGTGTTCTGCTCCTCAGAAATGACTTATGCTTGTTTTCGGGTTGGAAGGAATTCTCTTAAGATGCGTGCGCTACCAGTGTGCTAAACGTCCTTGTTAAGGTTTTCAATGCAACATCTGAGTGCATTCGGTTAAGAAAGTGCAAGGTGCCTCCTTAACAAACGTAGCTAATACATTCAAATGCATGACAGAATGCACTTTATAAACCTCGCTTTCAGGATACTCCGCATAGCATACATAGTCAAAGAGTAGAGTAACATGATCACTACGACCCAGTGGTGTGCTTGTAACTATCTCGTCAACCATGCGTTCCTCGTTAGTGAGCACAAAATCCAGTATCGATGGCTTGCTAGCAGTTCGAAATCTGGTGGGAGAGGTTACGTGGTTGTACAGGGGGTGGCTAGCAATTAGCTCTTGCAAGCAGGCTTTAAACTGCGTACCGTCGGTTGCTGGCGTTTCTATGTCGTGCACGTTAAAGTCTCTAGCGATAAGAATGTGGGTGTGGGACTTGTTCAAAGCAAACTGAAAGACGTGGTTCAGTTTGGAGTCCATTTCCGAAGTTGAGTTTGGTGGGCAGTTAATCAAGGCTAGTAGACATGTGTCCTTGTTTCGCAACCATAGGCGGCACCAAAGCGAATGATGAGCGAGGATTTCTGGGTGATCGATAACTTCACATCGGAGGTTTGTATTATAGTGTAGAATCACACCGTCACCCCTTCCGGTTCGATCGGTCCGAAGCAACGATATACCGGGTACATTGATCTCAGAATCGGTTATTTCAAGCTTTAATCAGGTCTCTGTAATTATGACGATGTCCCGCGGTTTTGAGGCATGGAGTTCTCTAAGTTCGGCCACATTACTTAGAAGACCTTGGGCGTTTGTGTACATGCAAGATAGGGTTTTGTTGATAGGAGTGCGTTGATGGATGTCAACTTTGTGTTAGTTTTTAAGCCGGCCGCTAGGTGGCCGGCCATTAATCGTATTTGGTTTAAAAATTTCAGTAAAATTGCATGGCATTATTGAGCGTTCCTAAACTGAAGTTTCACTCGTGCTGTGCTCTGTCCTGTTGTGTGCCGTGGGTGCTGTTGTCTCGGTCTCTCCACAGGACCGTTCAGAAAAATAATTTGCAGCGTTTGCAAGTTCCATCGAATTGCTTACGACATTTGGTCGTTCGCCTGTTGCCTTTAGCCGGATCTCTGTTGGCAATCTGGCTCGCAACTTTAACCAGTTAGCCAACAGAACTTGCGGCACTCCCTCGGAGTGTACTATTACTTTCATTAGTCTTGGACCGCAGTCCTTGTAATTAGGTGATGAAGGAACTCTTGTCAAGGATTTGGCACTAAAATTGTCAACAGAGAGTGTTTCGCTGATGTAGCACCACTCCTCTCGGTCATGTGTTTGTGCATCATGATCAGAAGAATGCAGAAGCTCGGGAACACGATGAAGAAACAGTGTTTTCTTGCTATCCCTAGTAGGAATGCCGCGTTGGTCAACTGCTTTCTTTGGGCGATGTTTCCAAGGTAGATCAGGTAATATGCGCACTCCGCTCGGTGAGTTGCTAAGACGAACTGCTGAGAGCAGAACAGCCTCTGTCTCATCTGCTGAGTCTAGTGTTACTCGAAGAATTCGAGGTTCACCAGAGTGCACCGAGGATCGGTGACACGCTACGCGTTGCAGCATTGCAGGCTGGACCCGAATGCCAATCGCCTCGCAGATGGAACTCCACTGGTTGCGATCGTCTTGCAACTTGCCTTTTATTGTGCCAGATTTGGATTCGGGAACATTGGTGCATACGAGAGTTAACGCAGCGTGGTTCTGTCTAGCGAGTGTTGGCTTTATACTTTTTGCCGGCTATTTGGGTTGTTTAGAGGGCACCACTTGATTTCACGGTGGAAGCTGCTTTGCGCACGCTTGCTCGTACAGAAGATGGACCTATGTGTGTCGCTCCCGGTGTGTTTGTCGAGGCAATCAATGCGTACGTTACCTGCTTGTTATCTGCACCGGATTCCCTTCGGCTCTGAGCTGTCGGTGTCATGGCTGAATCTCCAGGTGAAGCGTCCATCGTTGGAGAAATGGAAGCAAGGATGTTTGAGGCTTGTCCACTTATGGGAGTAAGGTGACCCAGTGGATTTAGAGTCACAGACGCTGCAGTACGATTGGAGCGCCTAGCTCTCTGCTTCGGCTTAGATTCGGAGCTTACTTTGGCTTGGGTGGGGTATTATCGGGACCATATTTACCTCCGTGGGATCGATCTTAGTATTTATGAAACGCGCGATTATCTCAGTCATTCTATCGCAGTTTTTCATGAGTAAAGATAAACAGTTGACAACTGGAATGACTTGACATGTTGGGTAAAACCAAATTGTGTCAACAGCTTAGTTTATGTGCGCCACTTCTTGGACGGCTTTGCCTACACATTGCGGACGGTACGATTTAGTGCAGCTGGAACTGATTATTCCTGCAATTTTCTTAGGAAGTATAAGTCACGATTATAATTTGCACAATCAGCCGCCTCGAGGTGGAATCGAACTCTGGACATACAGCTTACCGTTCCGCTGCTCTACCACTGAGCTACCGAGGACTGAGGATCAGGTGCGCAGTTTAATTCATGACATCTGCTTGGTTCGCGACGTATTGTCCATAAGCTCACAGTATCTGTCCTGGTGTTGTAGATTGTCTCACGCACTCGTTACTTTCCAATGAACCGAAGTATCTGTCTTCCTGATGTTCAAATGGCAATGGCAAAGGTAGATTTTTGGTGGTTTTTTGTGGGTAGTGTACTTGTCTGCGCAACATAGGCGATGTTGAGCAATTGGAATGCTAGTCGTGCTATTATCGTTTGCAGCAAGGCCTATCTGAACGCTCACCTCGATGAGTGTTCCTTACGTCAGAACACGTACACGAATTGAGAGTTGTTCAACCGCACCAAGGTCAGCCGGTAGAGGCAGATGGAGGTCGTAACACGCAGACTGTCTGGTTCAGAGATCAATCGACTCGCAGTTGAATACGCACACCCAACCAAGGCGGCAGCGTGGGTTGGTCCGCTTGCCTTAACCGACGATGCACGTAGAGCGCTGATAAGCGTCCCTAGAACTATTCAGTTGATGAGCGATGCAAAATGACTATAACTTTGTTATGCTGTAACTTGCAGGGATGGTTGCCGCGTAGTTTGGGAGCCCCGAGCTTCTTCTTCTTTATGAGATTTAAATCTTTTCCGAAAAACCGGTTTGATGTAGTTACACGCGTGGAACTCGGCATAGAATATGCCGCAAACTGGGAACTGGAGCAAGAGTATAATCCACACAGGTTCGATCCAAGAGTTGGGAATCACCGAGTAATAATAATAAATAATAAATAATATTGTGTCAGCTGTACGCCGTAATGGCGCTTCGCTGCCGCGCGCGGGCTACGTATGCCGCGAGGACGCCCACCCCTACGCCGAATCACTGAGTAGAGCTCGTCGAACTAGTTCGAACGAGCGCACACACAATATTGTGTGGGCAGAATTAGAGTGGCCACAGAGGGCAAAACGACATCCGAGTTAAAGTGCGGCCGCACAGCACGCTTTCTGGAAAGTAGTACACACCGTCTGAAACGGCCTGTGGTGGAAAACAGTTAGACCAATTGTTAACTTTCATCGGCATAATTCCACATCCCACTGCCTAGGTGAATGATTATGTAACGCAGGTTCAGATGAGAAGCGACGTTGCTGAACAACAGTTTCCATGCGATTGCACGTTGTTAATATGTACCGACTTTAGCGTGGGTCAAACCAATGCAAGCACAGCGGTTTTACCCTTTTTAGTACTCTGCTTCATCGATTGTTAGATCAACTGAGTAGGTTTTCGACCATATTTGCAAAGAGCTGCGATGCTGAGAAGTGAACTGACTTAAGAAAACTTCCGTAACAGGCACTTATACTTTGCGCACATTTATTGTTTAAAATACACGGAGGTGTAAGGGAACGACATTCTAACAGATTGAGATAAACCATTCAAACACACAAACTAATTAACACCGCTTACCACTGATTCCAAGGACTACCTTGTCCATAAATATCTTTTCTGATTGTCCAGGAAAGTACTTCTTCACAAATTCCTGAATTCGGTTGACCCGTCCTGGGTCTACGTTACAGCTTGTCTTTACTCTCTGGTCTGTCAATGCTATCGACTTCATCGGATTTGCTGGTGGCTTTGTAGGCGACATACGCTCAGGATTAGTTCTACTTAAACCGCACTCCTTAACGTACTCTGGCACTGACCGTTGATTTCCATTGGACCTCTGAAAGTCGCGAGGAGTTCCGACGCCTTGGCTTAATTGTGTGGCTGGAGATAAAACGGAGGTTGGCTTCCTATTCTCCAGAACGTCAGTTGTGGTCTTTGAACAAGTACGGATAGGAGGATGATTCTTCAAAACTCTGGGTTTGGCTTTCGGTTTTGTTTCACTTGTCGGTTGAGGCAAAATATCGGACCGGATTACCAGGAGTTCTTCAGGTAACCACTGAAGCCCTTCTGTCCATATATTGTGTTCCACCGGCCTGTAGCTTACTGGGGTGACGTCAGCCACGGGTCTCGATGGACCACATAGGATCTGATTGTTATTACATGAGCACTCCATAACGGATGGACCATCATCTTGTTCGTCAGTCATGCATGAACTGTAGATGCGTTGGTTGTCCATAACAGTGTAAGTGGTCGATGTCACTGTAGGAATTAGTGTCAGTGAGGTGGCATCTATTTCTGTGGGGTCATAATTGCAGTTAAGATCTTCTGAAGGCATGATGATTTTGGGATTTACCCACCCGAAGGTCCACAGTTTGGAGCACAGTAAGAGTAAGGCTATTGGGACACTCCAGAAATGTCACGAGCATGGATAACTTCAAATGATGCTAATCGATAAACTGCCACACGTGGTCAGGTCAAGTCAGGTCAGATTCCACGGACGATAGAGGATTTCACCTAAGGAGCGTCTTAGTTCTTGTGCCGCTAAGAGCAAAATAACCCATGGCAATTCGACGTTGGACTGCCTCCTATTGCTATTGCGAAAGAATGAAGCAAGAACAAGAGCAATCTTTGCACGTTCCTGTGCCAACAACAAAATACACTACATATTCCAGTATAATTACAATATCTCGGGAAAAAGGTCAGACCAACACTTATCTAAGCCTCATTCAAGGGCTTCTACAGACACACATTCCACTAAATCAGAAGGAAGTTTATTCCAACTTTTAATTACTCGGTTTGTACAAATTTCCGCCCTGATGTTCAAAGGAGCCCTATGTTGTTTGAGCTTCAGGTGACGCTCACGCTGTTGGTCCGACGTAGCCAACTCAAACAGTTGGGTGGGATTGATACCACTGAGTTCCATAATGATCTTAAATGTCTCTATTAAATCCCCTCATAAGCTGCTCCGTTCCAAGGAAAATAATCCTAAGCTACTTAGACGATCTTCGTACCACTTACCTCGTCGACCTTCGATCATCCTGGTCGAAAGTTTCTTCATCTTTTCTATACACATATCAATATTACGATGTCCAGGCCTGAACACAGTACTCCTGACGTGACCTAACCACTGCTTCGTAGAACTGCAAGAATAATACTGCTTAGTGTTACTCAGCGGTATCCTGATGCGAAACAACTCTTGTCGCGTTTTTGGCACCATGGTGACATTTGTATCTAGGGTTTAAAACGGTTCACTATTATGATACCTAACTCGCGAGCTTCATCCGTACACTGCAGTGACAGATCCCGCAGGAGACTGCACTGCAATTCCGCTACCACTATTGGTCAATAGTTGACATTTATTGGTATTCAGAGGCTAATCCCACTGTCCCGACCGATTCACCACAGTGAAGATATCTTTAGTAAATGTTGCTCGATTTCCCCTACCGACTGGCTTCAAGTCACCTGCGAAGATATAGCAGGGATCTACAAAAAACTGCCAGGTCGTTTATAAACATTAGAAACAATATTGGACCCAATACCGAATCTTGGAGAACACTGGTGTAGGCAAGGCGCACACTAGAACTCGCTTCCCCAACCCTAACTCTAAATGTTCTTCCACGTAGATAAGAGGCTATTCAGCAGTAGTCGACCAGAACCAGCTATTGCCAAGCTTGTGTTCAGTAAGTTTTCAATGTGGAATAAATTATTTGTACCTTCCTTCGGATGTTTACCTGACACGTAGGTATGCCGAGAAGACCTTTATGCTTGTAAGTATCAGTACGTATGTAGTGCACACAAGAGAAACTGTCAGCATAGTAAAACATGCTGGGTACCACTAAGTTACTGAGAAGCTACCGGAACACACTTCTGTTTCTTAGCTGAAGGAAGGGGACAAAATACGGAGTTGAATGGTAAGTTCAGAAGTGCAATTACGGCAAAACATCTCTAGAGTTCCTAGCGTTGGGTTCCCTGTACTGTTCTTAAAAATAACCTGAGAAGACGTCAACAAATCTTCGCGGCGTGTTGTTTAGATTCGCAAATTATGTTCGACTTAGCAGCAGATCACCTTGTCGTTTTTCCATAAAGTTTACCAAAAGTTGTACCAAACGTCTCTCTTGAATGGCAACTGAGAAATTCTCTCAGCCGTCTCAGGCAATCCTGCCAGGACGCTTTGAGTATAAAACTTTCGCTCCATCGTCTTAATGACACGGCTTCAATGGAAGGGGATCTTGGCCATTATGCACGATGCGGGAGCCTCTGCTTGCCGCATTATTATCGCCAACGCACCGGCCACTGGATATCCGAGAGATCAGTGAACCTGTTGGAATACAGAAGAATAGACTTGGCTGACTCGGAGAACAATATAACCAGGCGGACTATTAGGTGCGAACTAGAGCGGAGCCTGCACACTGTAAAGGAAGCCTATGGTAGGAGTCGGGCACTAGAAATGCAGGCTAGGTAGTAGAAAAGTATCGCAAGCTTTTCCATCTGATCCGGTTTACTGGTCCCAGAAAACCTGACGTTATTCAAACAACCACAGACAGCGCGCGTACCATGAGTCACAATAAGGTGCACTGTATGGTTATTTGGGTGGAGCATTTCCAAAAGCAGTTCAGTTGGATCCACGCATACCGCAGACCGACAATAGCTGTGTTCCTCGAATTCAAGAGTGCGTTCGATTCAGTCGATCGATCGATTCTGTTCGAATTACTTGCGCGAAAAGGTGTTTCCATGAAATACGTGAACATTCTTCGTGCTCTGTACTCGAACACTACAGGCCGCGTCAGGGTCTATGGTGCCCTGTCGGATAGCTTTCCGACTACAAGTAGCGTTCGTCTGGGTTGTCCGATTTCCCCGTTTTTATTCAATTTCGTTGTGGATTCTATCATATAGTGTTCGCTTGCGGAATCTCACGATGTTGGCGTTGAAGTGCTGCCTGGTGAAAGGTTAGTTGATCTAGATTATGTGGACGATATCGTCTTGCTTTTCGACAATGTTGTGGAGGCACAATCAACCCTGAATAGCCTATCCAGAGTGGTCCCATTATTTGGTATGCACTTCACACCTTCAAAGTGCAAAGTGTTGCTGCAGGACCACCAGCCACTAGATGACCCCTTGACCCTGGGTAGCGAGGAACTCGAGGTGGTTGATCAATACACTTATCTTGGCAGCTGCATCAGCAATGATGGGCGCATAGAAACTGACGTGAGCTCACGCATTGCAAAGGCCAGAGCTGCCTTCTTGAACCTGTGGCATCTTTGGCGACAGAAGGGAGTTTCCCTCCGTCTGAAAGGCCGGGTATACAAGGCCACAGAGAGGGCCGTTCTGCTGTATGGTAGTGAAACTTGGCCCCGTCGGTCTGAAGATCTGAGGCGCCTTCAAGTCTTTGGTCATCGTTGTCTACGAAGCATTGCTGCAGTCGGATGGCCCCAGTGTGTCCGCAACGATGATGTGCGTAGGCGAGTACTAGTTGGTGATAATCGTGCTAGCTCCCTAGAACAACAGATAGCACTGAATAAGTTGCGTTGGCTCGGGGACGTGCTACGCATGCCTGGTCACCGCTTACCTAGGAGAGCCTTGTTCAGTCTACCAGGTGTAGGATGGCGCAAGGCTCGAGGTGGACAGAAGTTGACTTGGCAGCGGGAAATGAAGTCACTGACGACCAAACTGGGTGCCGTTGGTCCGTCTCACCTTCCGGGCTGGAGTCCACGTGACTCACCTTGTGCTTGGCTCGGGACTTTACAGGACATGGCTCGCAACCGACAACAGTGGCGCGTCTGCTGCCGTCTCCTAATCGGATTGCCTGTTTAAAGTGTGTTTGGTGCTGAGTTATCTGCGGGGTAATGACTGATTATGACGCGTGGCAGTGAAAGCCGCAAGGAAGCTGTCTCGCTGATGCCGCCTTATCTTTGCGCGATAGCCAACTGTTTGTGACGGAATGTTGTCTACACAAGGTGTAGGCGCCTTGACCCTGAATGTTTGCTTAGGGCATTAAGGTTTTCAGGTAAGTCCTCCTTCTCTCCCTCTTCTTATTCTTTATTTCATAGGTCCTCATGGTTGTATGGCAGCGAAGCATCAGTTCAAATGGCTGATGTACTGCTGTTGATGATGATGATGCTTCTTGACCACTTCCTGCTCAGGTGATGCAGTATGAACTGTGGATGGTTAGTTTAGAGATTCACGTTCAGAATGCAGCAATCACAGAGGAGCAATTCTGATCCCCATGGCCTCCAAATTGCTTGCCTGTGTTCTCTTCGCAGATCGACTGGCACGTGTTAGGGCCAGATTCATGAGAATCAAGCTGAGTTTCGTCGCGGATGCGGCTGCATCGATCACATATTTACTATGCGTCAATTATTGGAACACCGTCATAAATCTTGGCGGCCCACCGTTGTCGTGTTCCTCGACTTCAATGGTGCCTTCGGTTCAGTTGATCGATATGCCTTTTGAACTGTTTACTCAGGAGTGGTGTGTCCGAGAAATCTGTAAATATTAACCGAGCGATTTACGCGCGTAGCAAGGGGAGAGTGAGGACGCAAGGTAATGCGTCACCACCCTTCATTATCACCAGAAGTGTAAGAAAAGAATGCCAGCTGTCACCTGTCCTCTTCAACTTCGCTGTTAACGAAGCCATCGTGATGAGGCTGCACCTTGCCGTGGTGCGATGTTTTGATTGCCTCAGCGATGCAGTGAACTATGCTGGGTGGTGCCTTTGTGCACCTTCAGAGTCACTCATGCAAGATTGGTAGATAGTTAGGCGTCAAATAAACACAGTCTCCTGGCTTTCCAGCTTGGGGGTTGGAATGACAGTGGCTCCTTTTTCCTTAAAGTGCACTGCTTGTAGTCCAGTACCAAACCCGCTGCCTTGCGGTTAGGTTATTAAACCAAAGGCGTTGGCTGAGAACCTTAATCTATCTCCTGTCTAGGTGTTATAATCTTTTCACTAAACTCGATTTTGAAATCCACACTTTGCTGCTCCACAAAACTTCTAGCCCAACCGAAGGAAAAAGCAGAACGCCAAGGACCTTGACAAAATAACCTATTAATCGTCGTCAACAAATACTGTACAACTACCGCGGACCTTGGCTCTATTTCTAGGTCTCTTACTGACCTTGGACTTCTAGAAGTGGAAGGTCAGCTACCAAGGTTAGTGCTTCCCCATAGCGTTTGCCGAGGCGTCAGGTGGTTTTTAGTCACGTGCAGAAACTAGAACATTCCGGAACGTTCGAAATCGATGCGATAATCGTTAATAATCGAGTAATCGCTAAAATAGTGGATTTCCTAGACAATTCTTACTTTCTTCCGGACACCATCCCTCCTGAGATATCGCCCGAGGTATACGATGAAAGCCTAGGATTAACTTGCAATCTTCGGGACGGTGTTCTGTGCCTGTCTGTCCATTTCCTTGGCAGAAG